AAAATCGATTTGGTAATATATTATAATTAAATAAGAAGATAAATAATAATAATATAATATAATTTATATAATATAATAATAAGAAGAAATTTATGTATGATAATATTAAATAATATTGAATATTTATGAGCTTTTGCGTATATTATATTTCTAAATATTTTAATATCTAATTATAATTCATCGTATCTTTAATTCCCTCCCACGCAGACAATTTCTTGCAGACAATTAAAATCTATTAGCATCCTCTCGAATATTCATCATCAAACATTCAGTGAGTTAAATAATAATAATTTGACGTGGGATAAATTACAGAAAATTAAAGTTCATCGAAAGATCTTCTCAGTAATTAATCAAAAATCATACTCGAAAGTTGGTATGAAAAATTTCTAAAACGTTATATCATTAACAAACTCTTCGATAAATTAAGATACACTCAGATCCAATATGGAGATTAGAGAATTAATTTAAATTAAAATATATTGAGATAAAAAATAGAAAAACTTTCAAAATTCTTTTAATCTTCTAATACTAATCCATCAAAAAATATACTAAAAAAGAAAATTGTTCTTTCTCCACTTCTTAAAATTCCTTAAGAAATTTCCAGAATTCTGATTTTTATTCAATCAAAATTCATAATAGAAAGTTGGTATTGAATTCGATAAAAAGACACATATCATTAACAAACCATTAAAATTTCTTCAGTAAATTAAGAGTATTTAAATGAAGATTAGAGAATTATACTGATATAAAAATTAGAAAACTATTCTTTTCTCGAATAATCAATTTATAAATGTGAATTTCTCACTCTCAAAAAACTTCCAAAATTCTTTTAATCTTCCAACACTCATCCATCAAAAAATATATTAAAAAAAGAAAACTATTTCTTCTCCATTCCTTAAGAAATTTCTTAAGAAATTTCCAGAATTTCAGAATTAAGATATTTAAATAAGAGAGAATAGAGAATCATACTGATATAAAAATACATAGAAAACTATTCTTTTCTCACTCTCAAAAAACTTCCAAAATTCTTTTAATCTTCCAACACTCATCCATCAAAAAATATATTAAAAAAAGAAAACTATTTCTTCTCCATTCCTTAAGAAATTTCTTAAGAAATTTCCAGAATTTCAGAATTAAGATATTTAAATAAGAGAGAATAGAGAATCATACTGATATAAAAATACATAGAAAACTATTCTTTTCTCACTCTCAAAAAACTTCCAAAATTCTTTTAATCTTCCAACACTCATCCATCAAAAAATATATTAAAAAAAGAAAACTATTTCTTTTCCATTCCTTAAGAAATTTCTAGAATATTAGAATTAAGATATTTAAATAAGAAAAAATAGAGAATCATACTGATATAAAAATACATAGAAAATTATGCTTCCCCCAAAATATTAATAATTGTAAATTCCTCAAATATAACCTGTACATTCGTGCAATCACTAACATATCATTATTCCTGTGAATCTCCATTTCTTAAGAATTCCTTAATAATTCCTTCTTCCAGAATTCTTAATTTTTATCCACCCATCCTCCAAACTTATCCAAAATCGATTCGATCCCCCACTCGACCCTCGAGGTTGATTTTCAACCACCATTTTCCTATGTCTTATACATCTCTCTACAGGTCTCTCCCTCGATCATTAATTCCATGGTTGTTAACGACAGGCATTACCACTCGATGGAGGTGTTCGCTACGTTCGACGTGTTGGACCTGAACGGGACGAGGCTCGCGGAGGGGCACAAAGCGTCCTTTTGCCTGGAGGACAATCAATGCCTGCCGGGTGTGGAGGCGAGGTAAATGCAATTAGCGGACTCGTTAAGGGTGAAAGTGATCCGTTCCTACGCGTGTCTGCGTACAGGGTGTTGATATATTCGCTCACCTTTCCATCTCCAGACAAATATATATTACATATATTTCAATCAACTTTGTTCTAAACAAAAAATTAAATTCAAACTTCCAAAATTCTTCTAATCTTCCAACGCTCATCCATCAAAAAATATAAAAGAAAACTATTCTTTCTCCATTCCTTAGAAAATTCCTTGAGAAATTTCCAGAATTCTTCATTATATTATTATCTTATTATTCTTATATCTTATTATTCTTTATATTATTCTTATATCTTATTATTCTTATTCTATCTTATTATATATTCTTTATCTTCCTCTAATTACGAACAAAGCATGGAAACGTAAATTACATTTCTTCCTCGATCTTAGATTCTCCCTCTCTAAGAAAGTTCTCTGGTTACACATACAACACCCTGTGTATAGCGAAAGCAAAGATCATTCTCTCGACACGACGCGTGTAATTGGGGAGCCAATTAAACTCGAACGGTCGTGCAACGGGCGTGCATGATTTCAGGTACAAATGCGCCAATTACGGTGACCAAGGGATTTCCGTGAATTGTAGCGATATATACAGGCACAACATCGATTGCCAGTGGGTGGACATATCGGAGCTTCGCCCTGGGGAATACATTTTCAAGGTAGAGTGGCTCGAAAAATTCCCCTCCCTCCCTTTTCGAATAACCTTTGTTTTTGATCGACGGCCAAGAAAGAGACAAGAGAGATCCATTAAGAAGCTTCCTTATATATTTCTTCCAGACTTCCAAACTTCTAAATAATTACTCCATTATTCTCTCTCTCTCTCTCTCTCGATCGTTGCTATCGTCGTCTCTTCTTTCTCGTTTCCACGAAATGAGAGAGAATCTGGTGGATAGCGATGTCCTTACGAAGACGCAAGATCGAGCGTGATCGAGATCGATATTTTTCAGGTCGGGGTGAATCCTGAGCTCAAAGTGGGCGAGATGTCGTTCGACAATAACGCGGCAATTTGCCGCCTTCTCTACACCGAATCGTTCGCCACTGTGCACAGTTGCGTCATGGGTCGTCCTTGACATCCCCTCGTTACGTCAGGTCATCGTATATAAGCGACGCCATTTTGAAAGAGTGACAAACTCTCGATACGATTTCCAATAATCTCGATCTGAATTGATTAAATTCATTAATTTCATAATAATTATTTCGGAGACGATTTAAAGAAAGAAACAAAAAGAATATTGTATTTTAATAAATTGTAGTTTATTTATATATTTTATTGAAATATCAATCGATAGCCTGATAATAATTCCATCTTCATTGATAAGGTTTTTCTTCTTGTTCTTTAATATAATCATTTCTTAATTGCACGGATCCTTGTTACGAGTATCGTGGAAGGAAATGGATCAAGTGGAATCGTATGCTTATTCGAGCATATTGGTATTCGAGAGAGAGAGAGAGAGAAGAAGAATTTCGTGCTTGGAAGCTGCAAACGGAGAGGATGCAGACTTGGGATATTCTAACCAATTTTGAATTTCAAGGATGAATGTTGAAATTGGAGGAATAAGAAGATGTGTGGGATTTGTTTATTAAAATTGGAACGAGTTTATTTTCGCGACAATGAAACGTAAGTATAAATTCGACTGGAGGGTAATTCGCGCGAAACTTCATTATCATTGTACACAAATCGACGTCCAGATCGCGCGACCAGTCAAGCAGGTTAAAAAGCATAGCAAACTTGTGAAAGAGTTGAGTGAAAATTTTTAAATTTTCGAATGAATTCTTTCATTAATTTAAATTTTAAATTATCGTATCTTAATATATTATATTAAGGGAATAATTAATATATTATAATTAAGGGAATAATTTCAGTATAATAATTGGAGGGATAATGATCTTGGAATTTTTATTACGTGTCAGGGAATCGACTATGATATATTTTTTCATCCTTTTTTTTTTTTTTTTTTTTTTCGAAGGAATAAATAACAAGGAAGATTTTTTTAAAGGGAACACGAACAAAGAATGCTTTTTAGATGTATTAAAAATTCCGTTTGATAATAGCACGGTTTTTGTGTCGTCGCTCGAAGGATTAGATTTGAAGTAGAAAAAAATGGCGTTGAGAGGGGGAACAAGGGGTTGTACAGCCTTTGAAAGTAGGTCATAGTTCTTTTTTTAAACGAGGAACCTTGCATCTTGTCACCTTCGATTGCTCATAATTTGATAATTAGCAACGTGTTCGTTTCACCTTAGTTTTCGCCTCGCGTGAAACAGGGATCTTGCTTGTCGATTGAGCCACTCGTTTATTTAGAAATTTTAGACACATTGTCTAAAATTGTCTTTCTTTCTTCGTTTTAAATTCTAAGAAGAGAAATCAAATTTTATGAATTTTCCTTTTCTTCTTTCCAAATTTCAATTATTGTAAAAAAGACAAATAAAAAAATTTGCATTTTTATTACATGAATTTCACTTTTCTCCCCAATATCAAATTTCCATTTCCATCGAAGAAATTCCTGTTCCTTTCTTGCTCCAAAAATAAAAATACTTTTCAAAAAATATTAAGAAACTCTCGAGAAGAATCTCAAAACTTTCACATATCACACTGTGTTTCGTTCCAACTCCACTACAATATTCATAATTTATAAAACTGACTTGTTCAACTTTTATCTCGTTTTCCCAAACACACACATTTATAGAAAATTTAAACGAAACATTCTCACAGATCACAATACTTATAACAAACATTCCCTTCGACTCGAACACAAAATTTTCAAATTTTCAAAGAAAGATTTAAACACAACTCGATCATCGATTCATCGAGTTTCGATAAATCTCAACTCAGTTCAAATCTAATCTAATTAATAACATCAGGCAGGAGGAGGTTGTCCAGGAACTGGGTTATCCTTTCCCGAGGAATCCGCTGTCGCTTTCGATCATCGAGGGGCAGAAGAGGAAAGAGGGCTGCTACTCCCTTCGTCTCTGTCCCTCGCCACTGTCAAGAAGCAAGAGGCCTCGGCTGTCAATTAGGCCATACGCGCGCCGCTTAAATGGCTGCAGACCTCAACGTGACTGAACGTTGTAATACGTTTAGAAGGGGGGGAGGGCCCGCGGTATGGCTTCCGTGGTGGTCACTGTCGTGTGCAGTGCGCGCCAGCTGCTCCCCAAAGCGCACCGGTCTCACTTTTATATACTCTTTTAAATTTTACCCGAAAATAACCGGCTTAGTCGTTCCCCTGGACTTCGCCTGAGAGCTTTGCCTCGCCTCGCAGGAGGAAGAGTGATAACGGAGGAGAGGAGAGGATTTTGAGTGAAGGATGAGAGAAGCGACCTGAAGTGATCTCGTGATTAGATCGATCGATGGTGGACAGATCTTGATTTTTCGTGATGTTGGATAAAGAATTGGAGAGGAAGGTTTTTGGAGTGGTTTTAGTATAATCTGATAGATGGTAGATATGTATGTATGTATGTATATATACATATAATTGATGGAAATGATTTACTTGGATTGATGGTGGAGGATCTGTTGGATTTGATATTTTGGTGATTTTTGGTAAAAGAGGAAGATTCTATTAGTTGCAAATTTGAGTTTATTTTAAATGGAAGTTAATTATAATTAATTATAATAAGGAACTCGTTGAAGGTTAATATCTTATGGATATATCTTATGTATAAATATATAATTGGTGGAAATGATTTATTTGGATTGATGGTGGAGGATCTGTTGGATTTGATATTTTGGTGATTTTTGGTAAAAGAGGAAGATTCTATTAGTTGCAAATTTGAGTTTATTTTAAATGGAAGTTAATTATAATTAATTATAATAAGGAACTCGTTAAAGCTTTGAATAATATCTTATGTATATATCTTGTGTATAAATACATAATTGGTGGAAATGATTTATTTGGATTGATTTATTTGGATTGATGGAGGATCCGTTGGATTTGATATTTTGAAGAAGATTTTATTAGTTGCAAATTTGGGTGAGTTTATTTTAGACGGAAATTAATTAATTATAATAAGGATCTCGTTAAAGGTTTGAATAATATCTTGTTTGATATTTAGTTTAGTTCTCTTGTGATAATATAGTTCAGTGTTCTTATGCAGTTTATGAATTGCGGTGTAACAGGGTACGTAAGCAGGTGGAATAAATTTTTAATGAGAAAGTTAATCAATAGTGAGTCATTCTTATTGTAAGACGTAAACTGAACTAACCTATTTATATTAATCCAATACGAATCAAATTTATCGATTGTCGAAGAAATATTAATTTTTGAGATAAATTTTTTCAAAAGAGAACGTTTTTATATGATGAAAAAATCATTGAATAATTACTTTACAAGTCAACGTTAAAGATTAGTAGTGTTGCGACACATCATTCCTTTTTCCAGAGATCAATAAATCTTCAAACATGAAAAAATAAGGGAGAAAGGAGGAAAGCTATAATTAAATTATCTTGATTCATGGGATCAGAACTTTCAATTTTTTTATGTCAAATACTAAAATAAAAGAAAGACTATATTAATTGGATATTACAAAGAAAAAAGAATGTTTATGCTTAAGTTCACAGAAAAACTTGATATCAATGATTTTAGTGATTTTTAGTGATAAAAAAAAAAAAAGAAATGGAAAAAGAAATAAATTTATTTGATTGAATTCCAATGTTCCAAAAAGGAAAACGAAAGTTTCCTCAGAGAGAAGTTAATCAAAGTTGTATCATCCTTCCCCCAGAGATCAATAAATCTTCCACCGTAAAACTCCGAAAGATAAACAATTCGTTCTCTCTCTCTAAAATCGAGTCTCAAAAACAAAACAAAAAATCCACTCGTTCGAAAAAAAAAATAAGGATTTGATGAATCCAAACACCGAATCGGATTATAATTAAGAAAAAGAGATTATCAAACTTCAAAGGTCGAAAGCAAGGAGAACAAACATTTACGACGAAATTCAACAACAAGAAACCTGATCGATACCAGTATTATCCAACTGATAATGAATTCACGGTGATCAGTAAAAATTCCAAAAAACTCCTCTCAAAATTCTAAACTTTTAAAAAAATAAATAAATAACATTTTAACGAAAGATCAAGAAACATGATCGATTTATCTTACGACTCACTCGTCCCCAGATCGAACGATAAGAAATCGATGAATCGAAAGATGGAAAAGTATCGATCTGAATAAATCGCGCGGGATATATATTGGATCAATAAAATGCTCGTGATAATCTCTAAACGGTTCCACGACGATCGTTGTTACAGTTCGATCCTTATCGTGTTGGATCCGAACCCTTACCGCCATTTTCCCTAGGATATTCCTAGGATATTCCCTGGGATTTTCCTAGGATATTCTTCTAGAATATTCCCCTAGGATTTCTCAAGACTCCTCTTAAGAGAGAGGGGGAGAGGCGAAACCATGAATAACGGAATAACGGAAGAGAGAATATAGAATATAGAACAATATAGATCGGTCGAAACGATTTCTGGTCGACAATGGCGTTTCGATCCCTTCTTCGAGCTTGGAGAAGAACTTTCCCCCTTTGAACGAACGTTATCGATTAAACACTGGTCGGAGGACGAGAAATTCGAATCATTTCGAAGAGGGAAAGGAAAGGAAATTGTTTGGAGGAAGGATGGTGTCGTCCGAGTTTCTAGTGATTTTTCTTGCCGCGCTGCGCACCGTTCTAGGGACAAAAGACGATCTCGACGATCCGAATACGTGCTCGAGGAACAAAAGTTTGTTCGAGATCCCTGGTGACGCTGTTCTATCCGGTAAAACTGTTGGAAAAAATCTACTCTTTAACACGTTGATTCGTCATCCCTAAAAGATATTCCACAGGATGAAACTGTAATGAAATGAATTTATTAATAAAAGCGATTGAAAAATTCTTTTATTCTTGTAACTTCAGGTTTTACAGGTTTAACTTTAGGTTTAATTATTATTTAATTAAAAATAATTATAATTTAAGAAAATTATATTTAATTTCTCTAGGAATTTATTTTACTATTCTTTAATCAATTGAATATTTAAAATTGTTTGAAAAATTATTTAGAATGCAAATAAATCAGGACAATTTGGAAAAATTGTTGTTTATTCGCTAAAACTAATTAATTCTTTTTTCTTTTCGATTTTTCTTTTCGACATTGAAATTAGTTCTAGAAATTTGCAACAAAATTCCAACGATGGAAACAGATGCGGGAGATTATTCTTATTAAAATATCGGTGGGATATTTTACTTATTTATTAATTAAGAAATATTATTTCAATAATTTAAAATTAAATTAATAAATAAATAAATGTATATAAAAATAATCAAATTACATCAACAAAATGTCAAATTGTTAATTCAAATCTTACGTATATTTGAAAATTGAATTTTTATTATTCGATATAATGATACAAATAAAAAAATAAACTCTATCATTAAAACAAAAAAATGAATTTAAATATTCAATTGATTAAAGAATAGTAAAATAAATTCCTAGAGAAATTAAATATAATTTTCTTAAATTATAATTATTTTTAATAAAATAATAATTAAACCTAAAGTGAAACCTGCAAAACCTAAAGTTACAAGAATAAAAGAATTTAATAATGAAATTTCTAAAAGATTAAAAAAAATTTAATATCTTTTGGTGGTCATAATATATCAATTTCAATATTACATGAAATTGATGAACGAAAAAATATTCAAAAGAAAGACACAAAAAATATTAACTCTCAAATAATAAATAAAATTATTCTGAATTTTAAAAAATTAATAACATATAGAGTATGTAATCCTTGGAAACTTCTTTCTCGAATAATATCATAATATAACAATAAATATTGAATATTAACGAACAACAATTTCTCTGAACAAGATTTCGTTGGGAACACGACGAGGCAGTCAACGTGTTAAAAAAAGCATTTTTAAACAACCAATCCACTTTTTCCTATACATATATCATACACACTTTCAGTGTTCTTAAATATCAATCACGGTCCCTATTGCAACGTGACGAGCGATACCGGGCTGCAAGAAGTGGTCACCGCCTCATACGTGGTCCATCTATTGAACAAGTACGAATTCATTCCTGGATTCTCATTGGGTGAGCCAATACACACACACACACACACATATATATATATATATATATATATATATATCCATCAAATTACGATTAATTAAAGGACCGCGTTTAATCGAAAAGGTTTGAAGATCTTGGACACTTGTTTCGACGAGACGACCGTGTACAAACAAGCGTTGCAAACAACCGTGGACGCCGATTGCCGGACGGACCGCTACGACATGGGAATATTATTACCGTCCGAGTACGCAACGATAATGGAACCGTTGCGCAATTACAGCGTTTCGCCGATCGCCACGTACGACGGGGAAAACTTGACGAGGCCGTTGATCAGTCTGATGGTCCATTATGTGAGCACCAGGTTCGAGACGATCGATCTGCTATTGGCCGGCCACGACTCGGCGTTGAACATATTCCTGGACACGGCAAGGGAGGCGGGGATCTGCGTGAAAAATTACGGGGACAGTTTGGAGCTGGAGGGGGATGAGACCGAGCCGGTGATCGCCGTGATCGGGCGGAGGAGCGACATTCGACAGTGGATAGAGAGGGGGGAGAGGCTGGAAGAATCGAGGAAAACTTGGATAGCACTGGCCCTCGATGGATCGAACGTGGACGGTGAATGATCGAAAATATATATATATTAGAATTTTTGTTCAAGAGAAGAGTCCCTTCGTTCTGCAATGAATCTATTTCTAGAATCTTCTCAAACATTACATTTTTTTTTTTTTTTGCTTTATATATATATATATATATATATATATATATATAAAAAATATATATAAAATATATATATATATAGGGAAAAAGCTTTTCGATATTTCTTTTTCTTTTCTAAATTCTTCATTTCTGAAGAAAAAAATCCTTGCAGATCTGGTTCCCTCGGGTTCGTACGCGGTAAGGACATCGCCGCTCGACCCGGACCTCCTCCAAGACGTCTCGTCGCCGAGCGCGTTCCTCGAGGCGGCCGCCAATCACGTAACACGTTCCCCGCATTTGCTGGGTGTCGGTAAAGCGGTGCTCGAGCTCGCCCAATTGTTGCAAGATATTCGTAAGCGGAACTGTCCACGGGCGACGGCCGCGTTGTGCGCGATGCAACGCTTCAACCCGGCCTCGAGGCAGGAAATGAGGAACGCAGACGTGTACAGCACGCTACGAATAAGTGCGAGATCGCACTCGATCAGGTACTCGGTGGCGATGAAGAGTCAACGAGACGTGGTCGACATGGCAGCGTACAACGTGGAGCCGGTTAATATGAAGTTCAGAGTGTCGCCCGAGTCGAGGATGCCCAGGATGCCGAGGCTGTGCTTGAAGAAGTACGCGAGGAACTGCGACGGATGCGCCAATTTCAAGAAAAGATTCGGACCTCGCGGCGCGAGCAAAGGTAACCTTCGTTTCTATGGTTGAGGGGAGGATGTATATGATGTATTTTCTTTTCTCTTTTTTATGAACGAATTCAATTCAGATGAAAAGGAAACTCTCTGTTGGAGAGAGTTTCGACAAAAATTCCAATCAAGATAATATATTGGAAGTTTTTGATCGTTTAGGAAAGAGAGAAACTTTTAAAGCAAAAAAAAAAGAAAAAAAAAAATGTGACGTTTGAAAGGATAGCAATTTACAATATTTTCAATTATATTAATACTCATGCATGGATTCTCAATCACTGGGATATAATCTTGTAAAAATTGAAATTATATAAAAAATTCAGATATTCCAAAAATAGTTGCAAAAAGAAGAGATTCTTCTTTTCAAGAAAAATTTCAATCAAAATAATACATTGGAAGTTTTTAATTGGCCAAAAAACTTAAAAAAAAAAAAATGTGTATGAAAATATTCCAATTTACAATATTTTTAATTATATTAATACTCATGCATGGATTCCCAATCACTGGGATATAATCTTGTAAAAATTGCAATTATATAAAAATATATAAAAAATATAGATATAAAATATATAAAAAATATAGATATTATATAAAAAATTCAGATATTCCAAAAATAGTTGCAAAAAGAAGAGATTCTTCTTTTCAACAAAAATTTCAATCAAAATAATACATTGGAAGTTTTTAATTAGCTAAAAAACTTAAAAAAAAAAAAAATATGTATGAAAATATTCCAATTTACAATATTTTTAATTATATTAATACTCATGCATGGATTTCCAGGATATAATCTTGAAAAAATTTCAATTATATAAAAAATTCAGAAATAGTTGTAAAGAGAAGAGACTCTTGTTTTGAATAAAAATTCTAATCAAAATAATACATTGGAAGTATTTTAATCAGCTAAAGAAACTTTTAAAGCAAAAAAAAAATGTGATGTTTGAGAAGATTCTAGAAATAGTTGCAAAATAAAGAGACTGTTCTCTTCACCAAAAAAAAAAATAATACATTGAAAAATTCTAGAAATTGTTGCAAAAGAAAAGGACTCTTCTCTTCAACAAAAATTCCAATCAAAATAATACATTAGAAATTTTTAATTGGCCAAAGAAACTTAAGAAAAAATATATATGAAAATATTTCAATTTATATTATATTAATACTCAATATTTTTAATTATATTAATACTCATGCACGGATTTCCAATCACTGGGATATACAAAAATTCATTAGGATCTTGAAAAATTCCAATTATATAAAAAATTCAGATATTCCAGAAATGAAATTCTTCTTTTCAACAAATAATACATTGGAAGTTTCTAATCAACCAAAGAAATTTTTAAAGTAAAAAAAAAAAATGTAATGTTTGAGAAGATTCTAGAAATAGTTGCAAAATGAAGAGACTCTTCTCTTCACCAAAAAAAAATAATACATTGAAAGTTTTTAATCAGCCAAAGAAACTTTTACAAAACAAAAAAAAAAAAAAATGTGATATTTGAGAAGATTCTATAAATAATTGCAAAATGAAGGAACTCTTCTCTCTAACAAAAATTCCAATCAAAATAATACATTGGAAGTATTTTAATCGGCTAAAGAAAAACTTTTAAAGCAAAAGAAAATATGATGTTTGAGAAGATTCTAGAAATAGCTGCAAAAAAAAGACTCTTCTTAATAAAAATTCTAATTAAAATAATAAATTGGAAGTATTTTAATCGACCAAAGAAACTTTTAAAGTAAAAAAAAAAAATGTGATGTTTGAGAAGATTCTAGAAATAATTGCAAAATGAAGGAACTCTTCTGTTCAACAAAAAAAATAATACATTGAAAGTTTTTAATCAGCCAAAGAAACTTTTAAAATAAAAAAAAATGTGATTCTAGAAATAGCAAAAAAAAAGGATTCTTTTCTTCAACAAAAATTCCAATCAAAATAATACATTGGAAGCTTCTAATCAATCAAGGAAACTTTTAAAGCAAAAAAAAATGTGATATTTGAAAAGATTCTAGAAATAGCTGCAAAAAAAAGACTCTTCTCAACAAAAATTCCAATCAAAATAATACATTTTGAAGTATTTTAATCAACCAAAGAAACTTCAAAAAAAAAAAAANAAAAAAAAAAAAGAAAAATATATACGAAAAGATTCGAATTTATAATAATTCTAAACATCTTCAAAATAAGTATAATCTCGAAAAAAGTTCCAATTGACATCATCCTTTTCAAAATGGCGTCTCGATGCTAACGCAGCTCCCTCTCTCTTTATCCCAGACACGCTCGACAGGGGTGTGTTAAAGGCGGGCAACTGGGTGCCAATCTTCCTCACGGTGGTCGTGTGCGGCACGTTCGCCTGCGGCGCGATCGCCGTCTTCATCATCTACCGTTTCATGGTCGAGGACGTCCTCGACGGGAATCCAGTGTTGACGATCGTCCTGATACTCGCCAACGTGTTCACTCTCCAAACCGTGCTTCCGTTCTGCATCAACGACGACTACTTGGGGGGCGAACGGTTGAACTCGAGGAAGATACTCGCGACGACCCTCGCCTTCGGATTGGACTTCTCCCTCATGTTGACGAGGGCCTTCTTCCTCGTCTTCTCCAAGGGAGGCGTCTTCACCGCCCACATAAACGGCCACCTTCAAGGGCTCATGGTGTTCTTCATGTTCTTCGTCCAGGTCGCCATATCCGTCATGTTCTTCGCCCTCAGCAACCACGACTCGGCTGTAATTATGAGAAGCCTGATATTCATCGCTCTTCTGGGTAAATTTTAACCAGCAAAATTTCTTCCAAACACTCTTCTATTCTATATATATATATATATTAGAATCGTTTCATTTTTGTTTCTTCATCCAAAGAGAAGCAAGAAAATAAAAATATTCGATACAACTTTTACAAATAAGATAGAATTATTTGTCGTATTTCCAGGATACGATATATTCCTACTGATCACACTGTTCGTCGTGTGCTTCTTCATCTTCCAATTGCCGCGCAATTATCGGGAGGGCAAGTGTTTCTTCGGCACATCTATCGGCCTATTAATCGCATGGGCCGTATGGCTCACCTGCTTCATTCTCGTGGAGCCGGAATATCGCGACACGGTGGTGTCCCTCGGCATCATATCCACCGCTTATCTCATCATTATAGGGATACTGATACCGAGGACGTATTACATGGTAACGCATCTTGCAAGGGGGAAGAAGTTCGGGCAGAGATTCGAGTCGACCGATCTCGCGCCCGACTCGAGGATCGACATAATTGGCAGGCAGGTCGGTATCGCTTTTCTCTCTCTCTCTCTCTCTCTCTATCTCGTTCCAACTAAATGGAAACAAGGAAAGATACCTTCACCCGTACTTTCCATTATAAATATAAAAATTTTGTTACCTTATTCGTTCATAATGTAATTCACATTCACATATAATATAATTCATGTAATATAAGATAATAATTGTAATATTTCGAAAATATTTCAGTTATAACTTCAGTGAATCTTTAGAATGATCTTTATTATTTTTAATATTAATATTATAATATTGATAATATTTTTAATATTTTTAATAATTATTATAATCTTTCTGCTGGTGAATACAGTATTGGAGGATCAAAAATAATTTCTAATTTCAATTTCTGATAAAAATCGTTTCCCTTATCGTACGAAGGATGAAAAGAAAACTTTGTTCGAGCAGAGTCGCCCGTTTTACGATTACGTGCACTCGCGTGGGGGAAGTACGACCAATTTGCACGTGACACCCACCATGTATCCAAACTATTACGGAAGCTCGAGTCCAGGCCAAAAGTATCTAGGAACAGCGAGCAGAAGAATTCCCGGATACAACAATTACGGATACCATTCGGAGATGCGGGAAGTGAATAACTCTTACTCGATACCGCAAGTCTGCATCGAGGATGCGGACGTGAGATTTTTTTTTTTTTTAACAATATTTTTTATCTAGCCTATCGAATTAGTTAACAATTTAAAATACGATAATACTTTATTATTATTGTAGAGAAATTGTAGTTATTTTAACGAATAATTTTTCAAATCACTCGTAAATTATACGATGATAGAGGAGGGGGGTGATTTTTCAAAAAGATGGTCCAATAAGATTGGCCAGTTTTTTTTTTCTTTCTTACTCTCACAAATTCATTTAAGAATAAAGGGAATCGCACTTTCCAGTCAAGAATCGACGAAAGCGCGACTTACGCGCGGCCTAAGAGCAACCGGAAGAGGAGGGGCAAAGGGGAGAAGGATTGCATCGAGACGGACGTTTACGTGGAGAGCAACGTGTCGACGTGCCGCAGATCGAACAACGAATCTCCGTATCCAAGCAGATCGAACAGCCCCAGGTTGGCCCAAGTCGAGGCGACTATCCGCGAGGAGGAGGAGGGGAACGAGGAGACGAGCAGGATCACGCGATTTTGAACGTTTCGAGGAGAGACTCATCGAACGTGATTTATTATTATATCTATTTTCCTCGACGAGAAGGATTTTAAATTTTTTTAAATTTTTCTCGCGTCTTGTCTTTCGAAACTGATCCTGATCGATTAGAGATTTTTTTTCTTTTTTTAATTGCACGCACGTTTGTACTTATTATTAGGAATTGTAAGAAACAATTGTCGTAGCCGATAGATCTTCGCCTTTAAATCCGTCGTCTAAGTGAATCTAGTCAATGAATAGTGTGAAAGTTTTTTTCAACTGTCAATAAGATAACGTTATATAAAAGTGACAAATCGTGAGTGAGTATAAAAATGAAAAATATATAAAGAATCGAGGAATGGAGGAAGGGACCACGAGGTTTTTAATTATATCATAATTAAACGAAAAGTATTATAATATTTATTGCGTATTTAGCAATACGTTTATAATTAACAAAGATACATAAAGTGTATAAGATGAAAGAAAATATTCTTTCCTCTCTAAATCCGTTCTCCAAAAAAATATATCGTAATACGTGTAAATGAAAATGAAATTTTTATTTATTTTTTTTTTTTTTTAATAAATATTCTCTCACTCTCGTTTTCTCGAATAAAACGATACAAATCGTTACGAAACGTTTCAAAGCGTTTCAAATCGACTTTCGTGATAAAACGGAAATCCTGTCTGTCGGCCATTATCGGGCGTAATTAAAGTACAAAACGAGGTGAGGGCGAGCCAGAGTCCCTTTTGCGCGTGGAAAGGATCAGCGCGTGCGAGGGAAGCAATTTCGCGTGTTCCCCGCCGAAATTGCATTATGGTCGATCGTAATTCCGCAATCGGGGGCACAGGTGCAGGAATATCGATGCTGTAACCGGAAACGCGGGTCGCGGACGATGGAAACGCAACCCATGGAAAATTGAGAAACTGCTCGAAACCGAGAAAATTAATTTTTTCTTTTTACATTCTTTATCATTTTATTCTCGATATTCAGAGAGCGAGAAATTTTTTTAAAATTTAAACGAAATCTCAATGGAGTTTCAAAAATGGAAAATTGTCAAATCTCTAGATTTCAGGGTTTCTAAATTAAAAACAGAATTTCAAATTTGGAAAAAGGATCGATACGAATTTCTAAATTTAATCAGTCGTTTAAAATTTCAGAATATGAAAAAATTGTAGAATCTAAATTTAATCAGTCGTTTAAAATTTCAGAATATGAAAAAATTGTAGAAACGAGAAATTTTTGGAAGAGAAATCTCAATGGAGTTTCAAAAATAGAAAATTTTCAAATTCCAAGATCTGAAATTTCTAAATTCAAATCTGAAAAAAAATAAATTTAACCAATCGACAAAAATTAAATCTCAAAACACGAAAAAATTACAGAAACGAAAAATTTTTCTAAAATTTTTGGAAGAGAAATTTCAATGGAGTATTTCTAAATCCAAATCTAAAAAAAAAATAAATTTAACCAATCGACAAAAATTAAATTTCGAAAAAATTGTAGAGACGAAAAATTTTTCTAAAATTTTTGAAAGAAAAATTTCAATGGAGTTTCAAAAATAGAAAATTTTCAAATTCCAAAATCTGAAATTTCTAAATCTAAAAAAAAATAAATTTAATCAATCGATAAAAATTAAATCTCGAAAAAATTGTAGAGACGAAAAATTTTTCTAAAATTTTTGGAAGAGAAATTTCAATGGAGTATTTCTAAATCCAAATCTGAAAAAAAATAAATTTAACCAATCGACAAAAATTAAATCTCGAAACACAAAAAAATTGTAGAAACGAAAAACTTTTCTAAAATTTTCTAAATTGAAAAAAAAATATATAACGATAAAAAAATTCCTGAACCCAAATCTGGAAAAAAGGATCACTTTTCGACGCAAATTTTCGACAATCGAATCCTCAACAAGAAAAACATCGTATCCTTTTAAAATTTACAAATTTTTAAATCTCTTAAAGAATTATCGAATTATCAAGCTTCTATCAAAAAAAAAAAAAAAAAAGAAAAAGAAATTCCAAACGTATCTCAAAGAAAAACACACGCGCGCGCGAAAAGATGGAACGATTCTCCCTTTATTAATTCCGCATCATGTGGCCAACCGCACACGTGAAAAATAATGAAAAACCGTTGGGGCTGGCCCGGCTCGATAAGCCGTCCCGCAACGATAAATAAATCGAAAAGTGCATCGGCTCGTGAAAGTCGTGGAGGGGCCCCGGCCACGTTCGCGTTTTTTCCAGAAAAGGCAGCTTCTGCGCAAGGATGGCGCGAGGAGCGGAGCAGAGGATGGATAGCTATAAAAGCGGGATCGGGACTGGCACGGTTTCCAGTCACGTACACAACCCTGTTTCTCGTGTCGAGAGGAAGGGTGGATTCTCATCGAAGAAGAATCCTTTCTGCGCGAAGAAAGAAGAAGAAAAGAAAGAGAGAAGAGAAACAAGAGAAATCTAAGAACCCTTGGGTCCTGCCTCGCGATGTGAGAGGGGGCGTGAAAAGAGTGGGGGGTGAGGGAGAGGGATACTATGTCCTTCGAGAAGGGATCGAGCAGTGAGGATCGTTACAGTGAGGAAGATGATGGAGAACGGGGGGAGGTCGAGGGTGATCCTCGTCGCTGTCGTGTATCTCAGCCTTTTCCTGGACAACGTGTTGCTCACCGTTGTTGGTAAATTATTCAAACAAAAATTTGTTGTCGAGGATCTTTTCCTCGAACGATATGGAACGTGTTGTAATTAGTTGGAACAATTTAATCGTTTGAATAAATAAAAAAAAAAAAAAAAATATTTCAGTGCCTATCATACCCGATTACCTTTGCACGCTGGATGGAAATTCGACGGGGAACGGTGAAGACGACGAGAATGGCCGAGTGGGTTTATTATTAAGCTCGAAGGCGCTGGTTCAATTAATATTGAATCCAGCGGTGGGCACTTTTACAGGCACTCTCGGTTACACAAAACCATTGTTCCTTGGAAATCTGAGCCTTTTATTGGCGGCAACGCGTAAGCTTTTTTTCTTTTATATCCCACTTACTTTCCATCTCGAAAGATTCTCCGCCAAAATTATTTCATTTCCAAAGGGAAAACGAGATCTATATGAAAAAATAATTTATACAATCTTTTGCAATAGATTTTTCAAAAGCTTAGAAACTATTCAAATGCAACAAGTTTCTCCCTCTTCCAACACTCTTCCTCTTCGTTCGAAGAGGCGCGTTAAAAAAGGAGAGCGAAAGAGGGAGGGAGAGCATAGCCTTCTATCTTTGCAGTGTTCGCGTTCGGCCAAACTTACGAAGTACTGTTCCTGGCACGAAGCGTCCAGGGCATTTCCTCGGCTTGTATCGGCGTTTCCGGTATGTCGCTGGTCGCCTCCCAATACCCGGAAGAGGACAAGAGGTCGAGGATCATGGGCTTCGTCCTTGGAAGCATCGCGCTGGGGGTACTTGTCGGATATCCGATTGGCTCCGTTCTCTACGACCTCGAGGGGAAAATGGCCCCCTTCCTCCTCGTCTCTTTCTTCATCGTCCTCACCATATGTACGAACTTCTTCTTTTTCTTCTTATCTCTCCATTTTCTTAATCTTTTTAACCTGACCTAAGTTTTTCTTTTTTCTTCACAAGTAATTCGAGACGTTAGAATTTTTCGAGAGGTTAGATTTTATTTTCCATTTTTTTCTTCCCCCTTCCAGGTCTGCAGATTTTCACGTTGGACGTAGAAACGAGTGCCGAGGTAAGGCGCCAATTGCTCGATAAAAATTTCCTTCTCCGAATAATACAATAATAATTTTCAGTCCTTGGATCGAGAAACCTCTTGGACGCACCTGTTATCCGACCCGTACATACTAATCATCTTTGGGGCGATATGGTGTTCAACGTCGCCGATGGCCATCCTGGAGCCCTGCCTACCGATCTGGCTACGAGCTCACATAAAACCCAAGGTATATTTACATTTTCCGATTTTTAATCCGATTGGAAATGAAATTTTCAATAATCCCTTCCGTTTCGAAAAAAATTTCTTCCCCCTTTTCCAGAAATGGCAACTGGGAACGGTGTTCATCCCGGACAGCATAGGCTACCTGGTTGGAACGAATTTCTTCGGCGTGATAGCTTATCGCTACGGGCGTAGCAAAATCGCCGTTCTGGCTATGCTGTTGGTCGGGATCAGCGCCATTTTGATACCATCCTCCCGGACGATGTCGCAACTGATAGTCCCCCATATGGGGATGGGTTTGGGTATCGGAGTGGCGGACGCCGCACTGGTTCCACTGTTGGCCAGCCTCGTGGACCAAAATGGCAATTACGGGCCCGTGTACTCGATTCAACAAGTGGCTGTCAGCCTGGCCTACTCTCTTGGTAAATCATTCGACTTTTTTTCGTCAAAAAAAGAAGAAGAAAAGAGACACCGAGTTTTCATTCATTGCTACCAATATTTCTATTCTACAAGTTGTTTAAATATTACACTTTCGCGTATCAAAATATATAACTTTTTTTTTTATAAATAATTATGAAAGTAATTTATTACTTAAAATGTTAAAATATTAATTAATATTTTAAGTAAGGAAAAAAAAGAAGAAAAAAGAGACACCGAGTTTTCATTCATTGCTATCAATCTATTCTACAAGTTCGTTGTTTAAATATTACACTTTCGCGTGTCAAAATATATAATTTCTTTTTTTATAAATAATTATATAATTTTAAAATATTGAAATATTAATTAATATTTTAAGTAAGGGATAATTTGTATTCGTGTTTAAGGGCCCATAGTGGGTGGAGAGATGGCGAAGACGATCGGTTTCCAATGGGTTATGCGAGTGATCGGGTTAATGAACGTTGCCTATTGCCCTCTGCTCATATACCTAACGCTGGAGAGGAGGAAATTGTTAACCCAGCAGGATGAAAAGAGGGATTACGAGACGTTCCAGAAATCAGTGGCGAAATACGAACGATTCCAGGATTCTGACGACGATCTCTGACGCCCTACTCGACGATCTCTTAAATATTACCAAGATTTTATATAATTTATTTATTTTATATAATTCGAAAATAAATCCACGATTTATCTTTTCTTTGCTAAATTAATCGAATTTTAGAATCGATATGACGAATGAAATAATGGTTTTTGTCGATAAATAAATGTTGAATTCTTGTATATATATATATGTGTGTGTGTGTGTGTGTGTGTGTTTGTGTTCAAGAGATATTTAGGAATTTAAGATATCTTTTAGTTTCTTTTTTTGTAATATCAAGATTTAATTATATTTTTCAGTATCAAATGATGAAAAGTTGAATAATGATATTTCCAATAAATATGTGTATGTTCGTGGGATATTTATTAAAATTCCCTAAATTATTCCCTAGACAAATATTAATCTCAATTGTTCCTTCAACTTATCTCTTATACGAATTGGTGATAATTAAATAATTTTGAGTAATAAATTTGACAAGTTACACAAGAAAAATTATAATTATTATATATATAATATAATCTAATTTT